GCCATCCCAGCAGGTGGCTTAGCCTGCACTGGGCCTTTTCCCTGCAAGTCTGTTCCTGGAAGTCAGTTTGCAGGCATAACACAAACTGCATCAGTGTCCTGCTGGCCAGACAGCTTTCCTAGAACCTGGCCCAGGTGGGGTGCTTTGAGCTCAGCAGGAGGTCCCCAAACTGCATGCAGAAGTATCGGGGGTTCTGAGCTGACTTTCACTAATGTCCCAGAGTGGCAGCAATGCTAGGTTTTAGAAGGGGCAGAGCTCACAGGCCCTGATGATCCCTGGGCCGGGCTAGAGCTGGAAAGGGAGGGAGGCCGGCTCTGAACGAGCTGGGTGGGGCTCTGGGCAGAGGACAGGACTACCATGGAGCCCCACGTCTGGAGCAATCTGCCTTTCAGGTTGCCTCTGAAGACTTGGTAATTTCCCGCAGTGCCGGGACTCTAGGGAGGTTGAGGCCCCCTGGGAAGAGTGGCCAGGAAGGGTGATAGACGCCTGCTCCTTTGGGAGGACATGCTGGTTCCTCACATTGCAGCACCGGCGCAGCAAGCAGCAGGTCCACGCGGAACATGTTTCCAGGCACCCAGCCTGCGTCCTCACCTCCCGCCTCTTGGCCAAGCCCAGCATGGGCCACCCTTAACAAAGCTGCTCCTGTGGGCCCTGGCCTTGGCTTCCTCACTCCAGGACCTACAGCGGGGCCTCTGCCAAAGCAGCAGGCTTGAATTAGGGCCAGGGACATCAGTCCTTGCAGCTTGCCCTGCCCTGGTGGCCAAGAAGTGTTCTTTGTGTGACAGTCCTTCCTGTGAACCCTAGAATTGCTGGGCATGGGGCAGCTGCTGAGCCCTGTGAGGTTCTGCAGCTGGTGCAGGAGAGTTTACTATAGCCAGGTGAGGAGGCAGCTCACCAACTCCAAAGCCTGGAGACAGAGTCTAGACAGGGCTCTTGGCCCTGGATCTTGGAGGCCTCCTCTTGGGAGGCTGTGACACTCTCCATGCTTTTCCCTGGGGACCTGCTGTTTGTCAGCCTTGCAGGTTCCAAGGTGATTTTGTTTACACCAAGAACATTCTCTGCTACAGAGCCTAAGGGACAAGCACAACCCCTCACTTGCAGGAGTCACTCAGGCTGGGCCCTCATTTTCTGCACAAGGGCTCAGAGGAAGGGACGATGGGTTTGCCGTGCACACCCTGAGATGGAGCCCCTTCTCACGGCAGGCCAGAAGTACCAGCTGGTGTGGTTCCTGCCAGCATCTGCCTCGTTGGCTCTCGTGTCTATTTCAGATAAGGGCCACTCTGGCTCAAGGCTGGGCCCCTCTTCCTTTTGACTAGCAGCCTCTAATATAAGGCACCTCTCATCTCTGGTCTGATTTTGTGGTCTGGATAGACTTGTGAATACAGTTGGGGATCCTCATCAGAGCCCCATGTTGCGGCCTTGTGGAGGACGATGTTTAGGACATTGGCATAAGGGTGAGGAGAGTTTAGGTATCCAAAGGGCTAGACCTGGGTTGAGTTGCTTTGTGATACGTGTGTCAGTGTATTCTGCCTGCTCTAAGAAGATACTTTTGGGTAATTTGTAAACCACAGAAATTTATTGTTTGTGGTTTCAGAGACTAGGATGTCCACGACAGAGATGCTTGCAGATTTAGTGTTTGCTGAGGGCTCATCTCTGCCTCAACAGTGTCACCTTATTGTTATGGCCTCACATGGTGGCAAGGCCGAGGGCCCGCTTAAGCCTTTCACAAGGGCACGAATCCTGTTTGTGGGTGGATCCTGTATGACTTGGTCACATCCCAAAGACTCACCTTTTAGTCCTTCCACGCTGCGTAATAGGTTCCTACATAGCACACCAGGAGGGGCACTGACTGATGAGCGCGGCGTAAGCGGTCCTGGGAACGGGCAGAGCCTCCTGCAGCTCACTGGGCTCAGTCCTCTCGGTTGGGTGATGTAACCGCCACTTCTGGGTTGGTGGGACCTGGAGTTCCACATAGCCCTGGGGCCCTTGGCATTCCCTGCTCGGAGCCAGCAGCTGGTCAGAGGTGGCAGCAGCCCTGCGGTGTGCCACTCGCTGCCAGAGAGTGAGCAGGGCACAGGTCTGTTCGAGGTCACCGGTGAAATGTGTTCTGTGCATATTTTCAGCTCTATATGCACTGCGGGAACCTGGCATGTGAGCTGCGTGTGCAGCTCATACTTGGTGGGCTGTGTAATGTGTGAAGGTGTTGCCAAGGGCAGCGGAGACGTGGAGTTTTTCCAGCACAATCACACGAATCCTCCCACCACCCTCCCCTGCCCTGGGCTGTCTCACCCAACGGCCAGGGTGCTCCCACCTTGGGAGTTATCAGAGCCAGCTGGTGTGGAAGCCAGTCGCCGGGTCCCAGCTGACCGGTGTCCACTGCTTCATTTCCCTGGGTTGTTGAGGACGGTGAGGTGTCTGGGGGCGGGGCTCAGTATTAAGCAGGTCCCTTCAGGCCTGCGCTGGCTGTGCCTAGGGAGGGAGGGGCTGCTCCGAGTGCCCTGGGGGTTTTGCAGGGCAGTCACTGAGGGGAGAGGTCTGAGGTCAAGGTCCGTGCACGGCCTCACTGCTTGGCTCGTAGGTGGGTTCGTCTCTGGGTTCCCGTGTGGTCGCCCTCTCTGGGTCCATGTCCTAAACCTTTTTCATAAGGACACCAGTCATACTGGATGAGGGCCCACTCTCAGGCCTCCTCTTACTTACCTCTGTAAAGACCCTATCTTCAATCTAGTCACTGTCTGAAGAACACAGGTTAGGGCCTCAGTGCACGAATGTGGGCTATGGGGCTGCGGGTTCAGCCCGTCAGTGCTCAGGGCTGGATCAAAGCTGTATCTTCCAGGGGTCTGCAGCAGCCTGGGGAGGCAGGGGCAGCCCTGCCACTGGCGGACACTGGCTGGGCCAGAGGTCTGAGGTGCCATGTAGGGGAATGGCTGCAGCCTGAGGGAGGCCCATTCTGTATTCAGCTCAGTCCTGGGGAGAGGAAACTGGGGCTTTCAGGGAGGCTGGGGGTGGCTCCCCCATTGCATAGCTGAGGGGCACTCAGTTGCCACGGTGACCTCCATCTGCACAGTCAAATACACACAGCCCAGCCACTTCTCTGGACTGGAGGGCTCCCCACCCCCACCCCTCAGAGTTCACACTGAGTGTTGAGTCCCTTGGTGACAAAAACATGGAAACGGTTGCCATGGCAGCCATTCTTTGGAGCCCTCAGACTGGAGTGCAAAGTTCAGGATGCCCAGGAACAGCTAAAATGAAAATACGGGAAAATCTGTCCCTTCCCTCTGCGAGGAGAATGATTTGACAGTGTTCACTGCACCCCGCATCCTGGAGTCCCTGCCCCTCCTGTCACCATGTGCCAGTGTGGGTGCAGGAGGGGAGCAGGGTGGTCCCCTGGGAGTGAGGGTGTCAGAGTGGCCCGCAGAGACCTTGAGAGAAGCCACAGGGCTGGGGATGTGGCTCGGTGGTAGAGCACTTGCCTAGCATGTGCAAGGCCCTGGGTTCCACTCCAGCACCACACAGTGGGGAGCGGGAGCGGGAGCGGGAGAAGCCAGGCGTGGCTCTGGGGGCCAAGCCTAGGGCCTTAAGGTAGGGGAGGTGTGGTGGCTGCTAAAGCCACTAAGCTGCCTGTGTGTGTTTCTTCAGGCTGCTTCCTGTTTCTCAGGAGGGTTCAAGTGCGCTCAGTGACCGGGAGTCCCCAGCCTGGTCCACAGGCACTGCTGTGCTTGGCGCGGTGCAGGGCAGGCGGCCCCTTCTGACCGAGGATGAGGAAGATGGCTGCTTTCTGTGGGAGGAGGGGGATGCACCGGGGCCCTTCCCAAGTACCCCCAGGACTAGGGGAAGGTGTCCCTCACGCTCCAGCAGTTTTCCAGGTGGACCCCACAAGGCTCTGGTGACCTCACTGAAGGGAGGGTCCTCCCATCAGGGTTGTTTGGGAAACCAAGTAACACACATACACACACACACACACACACAATTCACAGATTAAAGGTTCTGAGAACTTCTGCAGCGAGGAAACCTTTTGACTTTGTTCAAATAAGTTTGTGAAGTGTCCGATTAAGCAAAGAATCCACCCCCTATTTAGGCATTTCCTCCTGGTTTTGGAACATCTTTTAGTGTCCTGCAGAAATACAGTAATGCCTATCACTACGGACCAGGGTCTGGATCCTCCAGGCCTCACGGGTCAGCAGCGTCAGCACCCTGGGAGAGTGAGGAATGGGTGCTCTGCCCACCGTAGTTACCTAAATCAGAAGCTCTGGGGCGGACCTGCTGGCAGGAGATTCTGATGAATGCTTCCGTTGGAGAACCCCCCCACGGGAGGTACAGAGGAGGAACTGGGAGGAGGCGTGGCCTGGGGAACCTCCGAGGCTTGGAGGAGGGAGGTAGCCTGTGAGGCTCAGTCGTGCGGGGCAGGAGGTACAAGGACTTGGGACTAGAAGAGGCACTGTGGCCACCAGAAGGGAAGTGCTTGTCCCTCGCACCTGGGTGCTAGGCCTGTGATGATTTGAGACGGGTCAAGAGCAGTCCTGTGGGTCCGTGAATGTCATGAGTGCTGTGTGCCGTGACAGGGCTTTGGCGGTGCAGACATCAAGCAGGGTCTCTTCTCCAGCTTGTGCAGAGCGGCCGGCACTGTGGTCTTGGCACCTGCCTTGGGGGTAGGGTGTGGTCTTTCTCCCAGACCCTGCTAGATACTGGCTCTTTGCAAAGCCAGAGGTAGCTTGTTCCCAAAGGCCGTGTGGGTGGCACCTTCAAGGTAAGCAGAAGGTGGGGTTTCTTGTAGAGGCCTTGGCCCAGGTCCCAGCAGGGCTGACTCCGAAGCACGCTTGCTTCTCCTTGTCTGCTGCCTCTTGGGCACCTTCAGCAGGCACTTCTCGCTCTGGTCCACTTTCCCTTTCCCCAGGCTCGCAGAGAGGGAGAAGCAGGATAGGGCCCACCTGGCCCCAGGGGCTGGGGGTCCAGGCCCCGCTCTCCCACCTGTGGCCCACCTGCCGGCCTGTGCTTCCTTGCAGCCGTCCAGATCCACATCCTGAAGGCAGACAAGGCGGGAGACTGGTGGAAGTTCACGGTCAACATCATCTCCGTGTACAAGCAGGGCACAAGCCGCATCCGCCGCGGTGACCAGAGCCTGTGGATCCGCTCCCGTGATATCGCCTGCAAGTGCCCCAAAATCAAGCCCCTCAAGAAGTACCTGCTGCTGGGCAATGCCGAGGACTCGCCCGACCAGAGCGGCATCGTAGCAGACAAGAGCAGCCTGGTGATCCAGTGGCGGGACACGTGGGCACGGCGGCTGCGCAAGTTCCAGCAGCGGGAGAAAAAGGGCAAGTGCAAGAAGGCCTAGCGTGGCGCAGCGGGGCGCCACGGCCCGGCGAGCGCGAGCCGGCGCAGCAGTGGACTTGGCCCACGAGGGCTTTCCCAGGTGGGGGGAGGGTGGGGGCGGGGCCGCAGCCGGCGTGGGGCGGGGCCCTGGGCGGCCTCTTCCCCATCCCCACCCTGCGCACCCCTGGCGGAGTGGCGAAAACACGCAGGGCTCGGTGCGCAGCAGGCCAGGTCCTGGAGAAATGAGGACGAGACGCAGCTACCTCACGGGGCTCCTTCCAGAGCAGAGATGCGCTTCCCTAGGGCTAGGTGGGGTCACCGTGGAGGGGCTGGGGCAGCCTTCCCTGGTGCCAGGATGGCATGGGCAGCGGCAGACGCAGGTTGTTGATGGTTACGGAGAGGGGGACACGAGGAGAACTGTGAATGTTTAGGCCCGCAGCCTGAGCAGGGGTGCTGAGCAAGCCTGACCAAACCGCCGCCCCAATCCAAGAGACAAAAGCCCCTCATTTCCCCTGACTCTTTGCTGTCTAGGAATTCCCACAGGACTCCTGGCTGTGACAACCCGGGCCCCATGTGAAGAGGCTGGGGTGGCCCTGGGAGGAGGGGAAGGGGTCCGTCCGCCAGCATACTTCATGTGGCCTCTGGTCTCCGTGGCCACCTGTCGGCTTGGATTGCCCGGGTGGGGTGTGGTTGTGGGGTGGGGTGCGTCCGTGGTGAGGCGAGGCTCCGGCCTGTGCCTGTGCCACCCGGCCGGGGGCTGACCCAGGACTCTGGCCAGTCCAGCATGGGCCCGAGGACACCCCTGAGGAGCCCAAGCCGGGTGGTCACTGCCTCACCCTGGAGCTGCCTGTGGGAGGAGGCAGTGCAAAGGCAAAACCTCCCAGAGTGTTTCCTTTTTGGAAACTTGGAACCAGCCCCTTTATGACATTTTCCAGGGGAGGGGGAAGGGGCACTGGCTGGGTTTACAGCAGTGACACTATTTGTGTAATGACATCAGCTCCCGCAAGGCCCTCAGCAGTGTCAACAGCTGGCAGGGGCATGGACAGGCGGGGTATGCAGCGGCAGGGCCGGCCGTGCGGGAGCGGGCGGGGGGGCTTGCTGGCTCGGCGAGGTGCCTGGGTGCCCATGCCACAGGCGGGCAGGGCCAGGAATGGTCACACTCCTGGGAGCCATGGGAGCCTTGACCACTTCCTGTCACCGCCCTCACTGTTGTCTTCCAAGGGAAGGGACGAGGGCACTGGGCTGAAAAACCTGCTGCAGCCCCCCGGGCCGTCACGGTGTAGCCTGGGGAGCACCCTGTGCACTCTTTCCAGGCCTTCCTCTTTGCCGACGCCCCCTACTTTCCAGTGCCCAACCCCTTCGCAAGCCCCTAGAGACTGTGCTCAAGCAAGCAGGCCTTTGGGTCTGGGTGTCTTGCGGGACCTGGTCCTGTGCTCCGGAGCCTCTGCTCCCTGCCTTCCCGAGCTGTGCGCGGTGCCGGGCCTCCGGCCCCATCCTCACACCCGGCACACGGAATGAGAAGCTTGGCTCCCTCTCAGGCAGGAAATTGGTTTCATTTTCCCTGCCAGAGCTTGGCTGCTCCAAAAAGCCAGTATACCAAGAATGAAACTCAGCCTCTTGGCGACTGGGATTCCCTCTGCTTCCCTCACTTCTGCCTGTGTCACCATTTAACTGCCATTTAACGCGCACCTGCTCTGCGCCAGGCACTTTACCTCCACATTCCCAGCCTGTCTGAACCCCGTGGGACAGGGATTCTCACCTGTTTTCCACCGGGGAGGCAACTGGCGTACACTCGCCCAAGGTTGTGCTGTGAGCACATCGCAGCTCTGGGACTCAGACCCCAGAGCCCGCTCCAGCTCTGTCACCCGCCCTCGATTCCCGCAGCAGGCTGTGAGGGGTGCCCGTGGGCTGCCGCCCAGATCATGCGCCTGCCTCCGAGGACCTTGGATCCAGCCCAGAGACAGGAGCCTGGGAGAGGGTAGGGACAAGGGCGATGTCTTGGAGGGGCAGCCAGAGTCTTCAGTGCGATGTCTCCAGAGTGCTGGGTGGAGCAGGGCAGGGCACGGCTTCACCTGAGGGTGGTCCTGGGAACCCCAGGTCCCGGGAAGGCAGACCTCCGTTCTCGAGCACCAGACAGGTGGTTTGGCTGCTCCGGGTATGTGGCATAAGGCTGTGGGGTATCTAGGAGAGACTGGCAGAGATGCCTCGGGGCAAGGGAAAGACAGTTACGCTAGGGAGGGGCATTTGGCTTCCTGAAACCTAAGGCTGGAGGGCAAGGGCCTCTCACCAGGCCTTGGGCCTAGCACGATCTGCTAACGCCATTAGCAGCAGCAGGCACCCTGCCAGAGCAGCTGTCCTGTTTATCTGTACCGCCCTGCCCAGGACTGTGGCAGCCACACCCACTCTGGGTCTGGGTCTGAGTCTGTGTCCAGTGGGGACCCCTCAACAGTGGAACCAGGGCCCTGCCCAGCAACCAGATGTCTTGCTGAGAACCAAACCAGCCTCCAGCCCTGCCTTCTGGCTCAGCCACCCCTTCTCTTGGCGGGGCAGGGCCATCCACCCAGTGTTCGGACCGCTGGGGGGCTATGGCAGGGTGGCCAGATTGGCCACGTCGGGGGTGGGGTCACTGTTGGGACTGCACAGTTCATCACAGGCGGCCTCCCTCCTCCTGTGCAACCAGCCAGAACCAGCCCACCGCCCCCGCTTCCAGCCGCGGACCTCCAGGGTAAGGACCTGGCCTCAGCAAAGCGACTCCCTCTCCACCCCGCTCCCACCCCAGGGAGGAGATGGAAAGAAGAATCAAGGCGTTACAGTTCCAGTTTGTACAGTTAGAAAGGGATATAAAACGGAACTAGATTTTGATTTTGAAGAGTGTATTAACCAGACTGTGATATGTAGGTTTCTGAGGACCAGATTAGTCTTTTTTGGTTTTTAAATGATTCCCCAGGGCCTCTTGTCCCTTTTCTTTTTTACCAGCTGGGTGGTCTGGCGCCCCTGACAGCTGAGTGCCTGCTTCGCTGGTGCACAGACTCAAAAGGTGTGAGGTGGGTATGGGAAGGAAACAGGCTGCTGGCTCTGGCCTCTGCTCACAGCTTCCGTACTTGTAAAGCAGGGCGGGAGGCAGCACCCACCGGCTCCCTCAGACGGGAGGGGGCACACCTGTGGGGTCAAAGCCTAGATAGGCTGGGAGCCGCCGAGGTCTTTAGGGCCCTCTTGGAACTGCCTCAGTAATAACATGCAGGAAATGGGTTTAGACTTGGTTGGAGTTGTCCCAGGTTGGAATGAGAAGTCAGAAGAGACCCTCAGGGACTGGGAAACAGTTCCTTTGGGGTCTCAATACTTGAAGGACCCCCTCCTGCCCCCAAGCCTAGAGAGTGGGCAAATTAGACTCTTTGATGTGCCATGGTTCAAACAGACATTCCTGCGGACCACAGCTACGCCATACCCTAGGGTAGGTACCAAAACTGTGCTTGTGGGCCTCGCCCCTGCCCAAATCGAAGCCAGATCCCCTCCTTGTGTCATTGGACAGCCCCCCTTCCCCAGGTCCTCCCCCACCGCCCCCCGCCCCAGATCCCTCTTGTGTTGCGGATTTCTGTTCCCTCAGAATTGTAAATGTTTAGTTGTGACCATGACATATTGTTTGGGTCAGTGTTCCTTTCCAATGCATACTAATATATTATGGTTATTATATATGAATATATTTAATGACATGGAAAAAGTTGTGGATTTTTTAAGGTTTTTTCTGTTAGAGTTGTAATGGACCCAGATGGAACTTGTAAAGTGGGCCCCACATGATAGAACTAAATTCAGATTATCATTAAATAAACTCTTGTATACTGCTCTGTCTCCAGTCTTGCTTGGTGGCCTGAGTCGTGAGTGGTGGGCATGTGGGGAGGCAGGAGGGCAAAGTCTTCCAGCAACTTACGGAATACAGCCTCTTGCCTTAGCACAACTCCCCGGCAAGACAGAGCCCTGACTATCCAAAAAAGGGAGGAAAAGGGCAGCCTGACTTGGCGAGTCCTAGGGACTTGCTGGCTCTGAATGCTAGTTTGAGCTAAAAGGCTCTCAAGTGGGATGTATTCCAGTTGCCGCTCCTGGGACAGATCCTTACTATTCCCTGGAGTCCCCAGACAGGGAGGGCCTTAGGGTGCTGGGAAAGGGGGGTTTCTGCCCACTTGCCTCTCAAGGGGCGGCAGGGAGAAAGCAACCTTTGACCTTGCCCTGTTTGGTTTTGAACCTAGAAGTCATTTTCTGCTTTTTACATAACTTGTTTCTTAAAGCCAAGTAGAGATTCACACGGAAACACAACAGGGTCGGTGAAACTCAAGAGATCTTGCAAAAGGCTTTTTTCCAAGCCATTGCTGAAGTCTTCATGCGGTGCACAGACTGGGCTGGTGCCAGCACCACGCGGCCACCAGGAGCCGAGCTCACTGGGTTTCAGAGAGGCTATATTTAAATCTCCAAATGGTTGTGATTTCTGTGTTAAACAAACAATCCAGCCATTAGGAACACATTGTATTGCCACGCAGAATAGAGCTGATGGGCACCAGGAAACGATCATTTCTGTACCCAGCTGTTCCCAAGACCAGGCTCAGCCATGGGCCTGGTTTGGACCTTGCGCGATGCAGACTCCACTGGCTGCCCTTCCCTGGAAGGCCAGGAAGCCTTCCCTCGCCATGCGGCAAGCTGGCTGGAGGTCAGCTGCTTCTCAGGATGCCACTGTGGTGGCCCAGCCTCCTCGGGGGCCTGCTGTGAGAACAAGAAGCTGGGCAGTCAGAGCACATCCATAGACTGCAGGTGTCTCAGTCAATCTTAGGAGTTCTTGCTGAATGACTGACAGTGAGAACAGGGCTGGTGTCAGTTGCTAAAGCCAAGGGAAAGCAAGCCTTTGTGCAGTCTCCAGGGCTAGCTGGACTGTTGGCAGGATTTAGGGCTCACTGAGACTGGGGCTAAGAGGTTCATAATGCATATGGCAGCTTGATTCACAGCTGTGGTCATCTTAGGTCAAGAGTGCAGTTCTCAAGGACTTTCATGATGTGGCTTTTCTCTGTCCATAAAGCTGTCTGTACCTGCAAGTGCTACGTGTCCATTGGTACTCCATCACAGCCAACCTTGTGCTGGTAGGTGCAGCCCCAGGCCTACGGCCTGCAGGGAACACTGCTGATCAGAAACACATCAGAATGGGAGCCATGAACAGCCACCTCTCAGGGCCTGGCATTCTGGCTGTGGAGACAAGTCATCAAGATCTGTCCAATTTGAGTAATACCAGAGACGAGCAGGGTCACTGCTAAGCAGTAGCCCATTTTAAAATCTAGATTGCTTGAGGCACAAGGAAGCCAAGTGATCCTCATCAGGAATCCTAGGGCCAGCCAGTCTAAAGAGTAGAGGGCCTCCCTGGCCATCCGAGCAGCTCTCAGGGCGGCTCACATTTACCAGGCCTTCTCCCCAGTCCCTGCATCTCCTGGGGACAGTGCCTGGCATGGGGATGCCCACTTGAAGCAGACATACCCCTTGTACTCAGATTTTGTTGAACAGACGTCTGTCTGTGCTCTTTTTAAGACTAAATAAAGACAGAGAAGAAATGTGCTAAGAAAAATGGGGAGTGAGAGGAAGGACAGAGCCAGTGAGGAATACAGTACGGGATGGATTAACTCATTGCCTTAGCACACTAGAGACTCGGCAGGACAGCAAGTCATTTCTGGAAAGAGGTCAGTTCCTTTTGTTATGGCATGTAGTTGGGAGGAAGTCTGTGAAATTGTATGACGCAGTCAGAGGAAAGAAGAGTCTCAGCCCACCTTTTAATATAAATAAGGGGGAACCCCGCTTAACTTCAGCAGGGCTCAGGTAGGAAATCCAGCTAGGGAAGAGATGATCTTTTGTCTGCAAAAGCTGCCAGTGTTATCGCTGAACCTGAGGAAGCAGGAAGCAGGATTCTGAGGCAGTGAAGGCACTGTTTTCTGACCAGGAGGGAAAACAACACAGCCAGCCGCTGCCAGTTCTGACTAGTTGGGTGAGCTGGGCAGATGGTTCTGGAAGCAGAGGGGCATTAAGGAATTCTGCAGCAGCCCCATGGAAGGAAAGTTCCAGGGATCTGAGCTCAGGAAGGAAGCACAATGCCAGCCAGGCTAGCTGGCTGCAGGAAGCAGAGAAAAGAAGCACAAGGATTTTCCGTATCAAAGCCACAAAGGCCTGGGTGGAGGCTGTGTCCAGGCAGGGCCTGTGGGCTTTGAAAGGAGCAGACAGTCTTGGAGCTAATGACAGCTAAGGTTTAGTGCAGTTATTAATAATCATGAAGTTTAAATGGAACAAAAGTACCAGTTGTACTCGGGTATCTGGATTTCTTTATATGGTATCCAGACTTAAAATGCTTATAATTAATAATCCGATAAGTTAAACAATTCTTATGCTGTTATTTTAATAAAGTTTATTTTCATTGAAAAAGCACCCGAGGTGATGGGTGCTATGCCCCTGTCTTGCTTCTCTACTTTATGCTCAGGGCGAGGGCGTAATAGGCAACCCACCAGTTCCAGGGCACTTGCTACAGGTCACCCGGGACTGTGGTGTGGACACGCTTGGGGGGGAAAGCAGGCCTTGCAAAGCACACTGAAAATGCTACTTTTACATGAGCCACGTTACTCTAGGGTGGGTCATGAGGCATTAGATCTCCCCAAAGGGCACATGCCAGCCGGTTGGACATGCTTTACCACTTTACCCTGTCACAACCTGATGGAGATGGCAGGTGTCTCACGAGAAACCCACCCCTTGAGGAAGATCAAGGGTGGCTGGGGCTTTCCTCCTGGCATGGCCCTGTCTCTGCAGCCTGCACTGCCCACAGCCTGGATGGCAAGGCCTGATACTCTGTGCTCCTGGGCAGCTTTCCTTCCACCCTTCCCTGCCCCTGGGCCCAGAGAAGTGAAGTAATTTGTCCAGGGTCACACAGCTAGCAATGTTGGGGCTGGGCCTACAGCCCATTCAGCCAAAAAGAACAGAAGCTGCTGTGTGCAGACATCGGCTCAGTGTTTTGCTTGAAAGGGCCTTTCAGTGTGACTGGGCCAGGACGCCATGGCTCTGGTTCAAAGACGCCCCACAAGTTGCCGGGGCTCCGTGCTGAGCAAGTCAAGAGGAGGTGAGAAAGTCAAACAGGCTGTCAGTGCCACCTCCCCTGAGCCCCCAAGTGGGGGGCTCCAAGGAGATGCTGTTTGTACAGATTTGGGGTTTCACATAAGACTGGCGATGTGGCTCTGTGGATTCTTGGTCTTCCATTGGGTGATCCATTAGCAACCACCCCACCCCAACATGAAACGCATCCTAGGGTAAGTTTTGTCAAAAGCCCTGGTGTCCATGCTGGCTATTCTCCTTCATAACTGACCCACCCACAACAAGCTCCTTCCCCTTTCCTTCCCCTCGCAGCCTGGCTCCCTGACAGCAGGGCTGTTACCATGGCTGCGCTGCCCCTCATCTGCTCAGACTCTTGCCCCCTCCCCACTGGACACGGCCCGTCATCCTGCTGTCTGCTCCAAGGGCCTTGGCACTGTCAGGAGGTCAGTGGGCCCTGGGGTTCAGACAGACAGAGAGCTCTTTCCTGGCTGGCTCACTTCCACATCCTCGCCAGTTTGTCCTGTTGCTCTAGGTTCAGAGCAGGTGGAGGGATCTCGAACTCTGGACTTGGAGACTGCGCGGCCCACTGGACTCACTTGGACTAGAGGGAGAATCCTTTTGTCAGTGAGCCGAGAGGCAGGCCCTTGCTTGCACATGCAGCTCAGTGCTCACAGCAGCCGCCAAGGTGGTAAGGGGGGGTCTTTCCCCTCCGTTTTCTAGATGAGGCCCGTGGTCACAGCTGGTAGGTGCTGTGGCTGTCCTCGGGGCTATCGCTGCACATTTCAGGCTCTCTGCCACCAGAGACTTCCTAGTCTCCTGTGCTGGAGCAGAGCTGGGTAACTAGTTCCAGGCATCAAGTTGGAAGCAGAGGTGGTGGCTTTGCTTTTGGACTGAGCATGTCGCTGCTGGCCTCCAGAATTTCCTTTTCTTCTGCCATGGAGACCTCAATAATTGCCCCACTGGCGTGGGACAGATGTACTCCCATCTCTGAGTACAGAGATGTGTCCGGGCTGAGCAGTTATCTGGATTCCTGGGCCCCGGATCTCCCCAACACATCTGCAGTCTTTGGTCTCAAAGTTCTAGGGAACAACACTACACCAGGCTGCACTGTGGCTGTCTTCCTGGTGGCTGACCCTGTCCTGCGGGGAGATCTCAGACAGGTCACACTCGTGTGAGGAAATCCACAGGACATTCTCCCCATTCCCAGTCTCCTACCACAAGCCCATTTTCTCCTCAGTGAAGTGGTGTACTTTGTAACTATTCCTTCTGACATGGAGGGCAAAGCAAGCCAGTTGCCCATCCTGCTTCCTGTACAGAGAGAAGAGAAGGCACGATGCTGGGCCTTCTGCGTCCAACTCAGAAGCCATGCATCCTGTGGGCCTGGATCCTCTGCAGACCACCCCGATGGACTTCCCTTTGTGAGACAGGCACCACAGACAAGCACACGTGCACAAAAAGAGTTGTCAGAGCCAGTGGAGGAGCCAAATAAAGTCAATGTTCTGGCTGGCTGTGGTGACACATTCCTATAATCCTAGCTACTCAGACGCCTGAGGCAAGAGGATCACAAGTATGAGGTCAGCCTGGGCAACTTAGTGAGGTCCTGAAATGAATGAATGAATGAATGAATAAATGGGTGTTGCGGATGTACTTCAGTAGTACAGCACCTGCCTGGCATGCATGAAGTCCCAGATTCAATCCCAGTACTACAAATGAACAAATGAATGAATGGCGATGTTCTCCTCACTT